CTGTACATGAAGGTGAAGGACGAGAGACTGCTCCTGCTTACCGAGGGACATCCTTGTCTTCCGCCCTGATACTCGCATCCACGTCTTCTCTCTGGGCTGCGTGAAAATTGATCTGATATGTGACTCCACTATGATTATGCCTTTTCTTGACCCCCCCCCCACCCGTATAGGTGGCATTGCGGCATTCGAGGTTTGCCTTCCGCAAATGGTCTTTCTCGCTCATCTTTTACACTCCTTATCCCTGAGCCAGAGTAGGCGTGGCATTTGAACATGGCACGGAACTGGTTACTCGTGGAATATTCCAGTCTGGGACAACTGTCATCTTGTTCTGTGTTGGACAGAGACACGACAACAATTGTGTCAAGATGAAAATATCTCACCAGAAGCATAGACACCTTCAGGTTAAGTTGAAACATGCGGCCACGCCTACCCGATCTCAGGGATTTCGAGTATATGTGTTGTTATCTGTGCGAATGATCCATACTAGACAAGAACACATGTGCGTATATGGCGATATTCCTCACCATTCTATCCCAAACACACCTTTGACCAATAATTTCTATTTTTTCAAGTATGTTTCCCTCAGACTTATTGGGTCTGCGAAGACAAAACTCTCACGTACAATTAAAAAGGCCCTACAGAACTCGAAGCGCACGCATTTTTGCCTTGTTTCATTTTTTTGGCGACTGGTAATGAAAAGCATGCACCACGTGAATCTCTAATGCTCTTTGGCATACTGGTTACCTTTAAAGCTTCCACATCGTCAAAATTGATACTTGCAAAGAACTTATGCTTGCGAAAGGCTTCGAATGATCGCAGTCGTGTCGTGTGTGGAAATGCCAACATCTGTAAATGATCCCCTGAAAGCAAGAACAAAAAAATCTCAAAAGCAAGCCAACCTGATCAAATAAGTCTCCCAGCTCTTGGCTACAGGTCAAAGGAGTGCTGTAGTCAACGAATCTGAAGAGATGCTGTAAACATCTAAGGAGAATGGTCAAAAAATCTGTTCTGTAGCACATCATTTAGTTAAAGGCATAAGATACGATGTTTGGTGCTCAAAATAGTACAGGTGTACTCTCTAGCAAGAAAATGACGAAAAGCGGACTTAAACTGCCAAAAGCTGCGGAAAAGAACGTTGTTCTGCGCGGCATAGGACGAGCATTTTGGTCTAGTTTCCCGTCAGCATCGTGCCGAGAACCACTTTGATAGATACTGCTGCACTTACAGGGTACAGCATCTTTGGATTAAACACAAAGAGGGGGGGGTCGTACTTTTTCTCTGGAGAGGGGGGTCGTATTTGGTCGTTGGGAGAGAGGGGGGGTCGTATGTGCCTTTGAGAGAAATTTCGCGTTGGTTTTCCGGTTGTTGACTTTTTGCGTGATTTTTCCTGTTTCATGTGCACCACATACCCCACCC